CCCCAAAACCCCAAAACCCCAAAACCCCAGAATATGAATTAATTAAAATTATAGAGTGTATTAAATTATAAAAATTCTCAAATAACAAAATGGCAGATGATGAAAATGGAATGAAGTTGCATGTCTTTATAAGAACAGACTTGAATATGACCAGGGGAAAAATATGTGCTTAGGCAGGTCATGCGGTGCTAGGCATTCACAATCAGCTCATAGAAAATAATCCCGATCTCTTTGCCATCTGGGCATCTTTGGAGTATCCACAAGAGACATACGAGGTAAAATCAATGCAAGAACTGTATGGGAAATTGTAGGAATCTTAAGTCTTAGGCATCCAAGCATACATAGTCCACGATGCTGGCAGAACTCAGGTTGAGCCTAACACTCCAACAGTCTGTGCAATTGGACCATGTGAAGCAGTGTTTATAAAATCTATACTTGACGGTGTGAATCTATTAGAGTGAAAGTTAGTCAGATTGCAAAGGTCTGTTGCAATGATCATATTTGTCCAGAAAATCCTACTTTTTAGTCTTAAACTTTAATCCACTTAGATAACTTTAAACTTTCTCTCTCTTAATAAATTATGCTTTTAAAATATGTTATATACATAAAAAATATTATCATGGCTATTAAATTAAAAGATAAAATTATATAAATTTTGACCCATAAATCATTAAACTGAACCTGATATAAAAGTAGATGTTCTCAAAATAGATTTAATGAAGATGTTCTAAAGCGTGATCCGATTATTAGGTCTCAAACATAAAGGATGTTGACATCATCATTCAAACTGTTCATTCAATTGCAAGACAATTCTATCAGATGTTTCCTTTTTAATAATATGGGTCACGCGGGGGAGGTTTCTGATACCGACTGGTTGAGCTCCTCCCTTTTAATAAAAATGAAAGAGTTTGAATTATACTATATATTATTTATATATTTATTTTATTGGTTCTTCCAGTACCCTCTAGCAAGCATCTCGGGGTTTTGGGGTTTTGGGGTTTTGGGGAGATCGGAAGAGCACACGTCTG